CTAGGACCACAATCCAGTAGGTCATTATAATAAGACCAGGATAGCCCCCCGCACTCTGTATTTTAGCTAACGTCAAGACGTGGTGGGCAAGAGCTGGGCAGACTGCCCATAGAACAGCGTATTTCAACATTTTTGGTGTACCCTGTGATAGCCACCTCAAGCCAGAGGAAACACTTGGGGTTCCATGCAATCTATAAAGCCCTCAAGAAGATTTGGAGGGTTAGGATACCTCAGGATGATGGATTGGATCAAGTTGGGGAGGCCTTGGTTTAATTCATGATCAAAGAGAGGACCTGCTATATGCTTCTCTTACAGCTGATCAGGTTGGGTCAGTGGGATCATAGTAGATACAAGCTTAGCAGCCCAGGATCCTCATTTTGAGTTATAGGGGGAGCTCTTGATGAGAGTGACAAAAGGACAAGGCCACAGGGACCATGGCAGTCCCAACTATTAGTGCTGAAGTAGTACTGCAGCCAGATTTCAAAACTAGCCCATGGTGTACCATGGACAGGCCACTTGGAGATAGAAAAGACCCAGGATAGAGGGCTGGCAAGGTTTTTCTGGCCTGGGGTATACCAAGAAAATCAAGGACTATTTTGTCTTCTGCCCTGAATGTCAGTTGGCTGCCCTCTGCCCCTCTTATAAGGCCCCACTGGCACATGTTCCATTGGGCGGCATAAGCTTGAAGCAGGTTGGAGCAGACTTAGTGGGACCACTGGAGCCCAGCTCAAGAGAGTCAACGAAGACCAGGATGAACTTAGACTATGCCACCTCCTTCCCCGAGGCCGTGGTGATTCTCTCGGCTTTGGCACAAACTGTGGCCTCTGAGCTATTACAGATCTTCTCTTGGGTGAGTATTTCCGGAGAGGTTTTGACTGACCATGGCACGGTCTTCATGTCCTGGTTATTGCAAGAAGTTTGTGGCTTTGGTGAAGGTTCATTCTGCAAAGACTTTGGTGTACCATCCCCAAATTGATAGATTAGTGAAAAGATTTAATTGGACACTGAAGGGGATGTTGAGAAAATTTGTCTCAGAAGAGGCTCAGAATTGAGACCAGTTATTGCTGTACTAGCTCTTTGCCATTTGAGAGATTCCACAGTACACAGGCTTTTTGCCCTTTGAATTAAGAGCCGTGGGGGATGTTAAATCTCTTAAAGGACTCCTGGCAGGACCAGGGAACAAGAAGACAGAACAAATCTCAAGGTTGCACAGCAAGTACAGAAACAGCAATATAATAAAAATGCCTGGCTCCAGGTTTATCAGCCAGGGGATAGAGAACTACTATTTCTCCCCTCCTCCAAGAGTAAGTTGCTGGCTAAGTGGCAAGGCCACTTGCCACTGCAGAGAATAGGCAAAGCAAATTATGAAGTTCTCATAGTAGGGAAACAGTGGGTTTTGCAGATATATCATGTCAACCTGCAGAAGCACTGGAGGGTCCAAGAAGCCTGTATGGTCTCCACGTGTTTCCTGGGAACTGGCCTGGGGATTTCAGGTCCCACACCAGATCCTGTGGCTGTCCTCATGCTAGGGGAAGCTTTGACCCCAATTCAGTGGGCTGAAGTAAAAAGCCTACTGGAGGAATTTAAAGAGGTGTTTACAGTTATTCTGGGTAGAACTACACTGATTGAACATCAAATTATCCTGAAGCTGGGCTGTGCAATTCAGAAGGGATACTCAAGAATTTCAGCTTGGTAGAAAGAGTAAAACAAGAGATTAAGAAGATTCTGTACCTAGGGGTGGTAGAGGAATATGCTGGTGAGAGGAGTAGTCCAAATATTTTGGTGCCAAAGCCCAGTCACACCATCCAGTTTTCTATTGATTTCCATAAAGTCAGTGCAGTTTCAAAGTGTGGTGTATATCCTATGCCCAGAATAGATTATATAGCGGGAGGAATAGGCAGTGCAAAAGGGTGTTGATGTTTTGTTACTTTGCTTAGTTTGAGTTAGCAAAGGGGGAAAGGCTGGCTTCTGGGCCTGGCTAAAGGAATAACAACCTGCTACAGTAGGCAACGTGACAGTTCTACATCAATGAAGGGTCAAGACAAAGTCTTCTCACCCCCACCTCCCTTTAGGTTATTCTAAACTTTTCTGTGTTTTCTGTGAGAACAATTAGCAAGCACTAGATCTCCTTGCCACGCCACACGTGTGGCGGGATGCACGGTTTTGACATCAGGGATTAGATCCCAGTCACTCCTTACTTGCTGGTATAAGTGAAGACTGGGCTCTCCCTGCACTAGCTGGATGGAACCAATCAGCTGATTCTCATTTGGGACTGAGAACCAAACTGTTCACTGGCCCCAGTCAGCAAACAGCTTTGTGTATGGAAAGGCTAGCACTGTTTCTTTGCAGCCATAGGAGCTGAATACATGGGGGCCTGAGGCCCCTGACCCCACCCTTGGGAAGAGACTAGGGTGACTACCCATCCGTAATTGAAGACTGACAAACTCAGGTTGCTGTGGACCCCTGCAAGGGGCTATACGGAGTGAGACACGGGCACAACGTGCATGTTTGCATGTGCACACATGCAAGTGCCCAGGAATACAGGTCCCTGAGCTGCCTGCAGGTAAATCTGGGTAGAGAGGGTACAGATTGAGGACTACAGTGAGAAAGGGAGTGGGGCAGGGCCTGAGCCTGGGCCTAGGGGCACTGCCCAGCCAGGACAGTGCATGGGGGCTGGGGTGGGAGCGGGACAGCCATGGGCAGCTCATTGAGTGCGCAGGAGGGGCTGGGTCCCTTCTGCTGCACGCAGTCCCAGGGAGGGGGGCACATACTGCCTAGATTTCTGCTTGGGGTTGGGGTGGATGCCAGATGCCCACTGGAGGCTTGAGGCTCCTAGGAGGAGGGCAGCAGGAACCAGGCTGAGATGCCCCCTGCTCTCCTGCCAGCAGGGCAGGCAGTGGCATGGAATTGTGCCCTCTGCTGCTGCCAGGTAGGCAGGAGGCACCTCAACATGGTGGTGCAGTGTGCCCAGGGGGAGGGCAGCAGGATAGGGAGCCCGGAGTGTGCAGCAGGCAGCCTGCACCTACCCTCTCCCCC